CTTACCGTCTCCGGCTTCCGCCCGCCATGAAGGTCCATCCGGTTTTCCACGTCTCGCAGCTTAAACGGCGCGTCACTTCCTCGCTGGCGCCCCCCTCCCGGGCCCCGCCCCCGCCCAGGTTCGTCGATGGGGTCCTGTCTACGATGTCCGGCGGATCTTGGACTCCCGTCCCCGGGGTCAGGGGGTCCAGTATTTGGTGGACTGGGCTGGCTACGGTCCTGATGAGCGCTCCTGGGTGCTGTCCCGCTTCATCTTGGATCCTTCCCTGATCTCGGATTTCCGTCGCCGCTGTCCTGGCCGGTCGGGTGCCTTTTTTTGGGGGGGGGGGGTGTCCCATCGTTGACTGCACCATGTTAATAATAATTTAAATTACATTAAAATTACCATGTTAATGCTGTTAGTAATAAATCCCCACCCACATAAATTTGAAAATGAGTGAAAACAAAATCATGTCTCATTCATTTGGGGTTTTTGTTGTTGTTTTTACCTTTGTCTTCTCAAGCTTTTCACGAGATAATTTGCAGCTTAACAGGAATTTAATACTGTCCAAATCTTCAGTGTCCAGCTCCTCACTTAGTTCTGTCATCAATACTCTGCAGTAAGTGGAACAAACACTGTTAACTTCGATTCTTCAAATCTTTACAATTCATCAGCTCATCTTAAAGGATGTCTTACCTGAAACGTGGGACCATTTGTCTGGTCCTCTCCAAGTCATCCCTGTTGACTTTGCACACCTTCCTTAGGATATCCAAACGCCCCAAACGCCACATGAGCTCTGCCAGAAACAGGTGAGCGTTTTGATGCTGCGTCACTTTTGATCTGAGCATCTCCTTCATACAAGCCACACTGTGGTCCGTGTCCAAGCTTTCACATAAATAGAAGAGCCTACTGCGTTCATTGCTGCTGAGAGCTTCCGCGATTTCATTTATAGCAAGTAGCTGAAATTGATCCGGAACAGCCATGTGGACTTTGGTAAAACTTTAAGAGGAGATGAGCCCTTAATAAAGAATTATAGTCAAAGCCTGTGGGTCACAATAATCACAATGTTGAGATCCACAAAAAGTCGTGAAAATATAATAAGTCATTGCTAATGGATAGTTATTAAATTATAGAGAGACCTTACCGAAAAGAGTCCTGCAACAAACACGTAGCAAATCAGAAGAAGGAAAACTATATAATGACGCACCGCCTAAAAACGCGAGGAAGGGGATTTACCAAATACTCCCCAACGTAAAACGAAACCAGCGAGGATCCGCTGGTAATATGGTAATTACTTATATTACCATATAAGTAATTCCTGATTCTGTCCTTTTACAAAAACTGCGCAACGCACTCTGTCTAATCCAACGTAAAGCGAAAGCAAAGAAAAATAGTAGACCACACCCACAAATGAAGTCATGGCGGAAGCACGAGAGGTGTTCTGGGAATCCATCCTACTTGACAAACCATCCTACCCGTTGTTTCTGCGCATGCGCCCAACACGAAATGAAGTAGCGAACCGTCCTACTTTTGTGAATATTAGCCAGAAAAATACTCTGACGGGTAAAATTAAGTGCCAAACCATCCTACCTTTGTGAGTGTGACCTACAAGCATACTAACAGCTAAAATTTAGTGGCAAATCGTCCTACCTTTGTTAATCTCAGCTAGAAGCATATTTTAACAGCTAAGATTTAGTGATAATGTGATGGGCAAAGTTAGGTGGCAGACCGTCATACCTACTTAAATTTGTGCTGGAATTACTCTGTGACAGCAGAAATGTACATAAACTACTTAGGGTAGGACGTTTTGCACCTTGCAAAATTGTGCAAGATTGCTATTGTTTTGCCTTTGCACGGTGTGAGATTTTCTACTTTAAAACTACCTCTGCAGTGAAGTATATATATAT